TTATCTTGACTTGTCTCAACTGCCTTCTGTATGTGTTCATACCGATGTGTCATCTCTAACTTTACCCCCACTTTATTATTATTGTTATTGTTGTTGTCATCATCATCTTCATATGTCTTCACCCAACAGATCAGTATTACAAGCTTTAGCATTACATTATATATCCGTATTTAATATTTTATTAGCTACATGTTTCAGACAGATAGTCCGTCATCAGGCATAAGTTGTTTACGCTACTATGCGTTTATAATAATACATGAGCATAAAACATGTCAAAAACCTTGTAAAATTATGTAATATTTTCGCTGTATGTTACCACATGCTATGTTTGGATAAATGTATAAATTAGGATTGCATTAAAATAAATGTTAAAAGTATCTTGTAATGTAGAACATATGTTAAGATTATGTATGCAGTGTTATGACCAGTTAGAATTCAGTCACTCATATATTCTGATGCAATTATGTCCCATTATTGGTTGACAATTTTTGTGATATATGGTGGTGTGTTTTATTACATTACACTGAGTATATTTTGTGTGGTCTGGAAGAAGTTTACCAGCATTTCACAGTTGCTTGCAGCCCCCATCATGGGAGCAATGACAGCATCAGTAAACTTCTGCCAGACCACGCATCCCTGAAGACTGCCATCTTCATACTTGCTGCCTTACGAATCTTAGATCTTTCAACCCTATATTTGTTGGTGTTCACAGTTGCAGAGGAAGTTTCCTTGTCTGGAGGCCAGGCTGTTCAGAGAGTTCGTCTGTTGGAAGAACTAGAGAATCCTGGCTACAACTCTGGAATCTTGGACAATGACCTTATAGAATACTACCAGCTGCTGGCTGAGAAAGGAGATGTGCAGGCTCAAGTGTGTTAACAGATATTTTTGTGTATGCCGTGCTAATCTCTTTAGTATTTATATGTTCTGGTTCATCCTTGCCCATCCATTATTGCAATAAGAATCTCTTTCAGTAGAACAGAATGTATTTATAATTATTATATGTAACAGGAGTTTGTTTACATGTGATAAGTACTAAAAAAATTACACATTAGACCATGTTATTTATTTAAGTAATTTCTCATATTATCGTCATCATCATTAACTATTTAGGGTTTAGGTTGTATATCCTGTTCCTATGAATCCCAAGATGTTTCTGATCCTTCCATTGATGCTTCAGTCAACCTAAGTTTTTATGTCCTCTTGGTAACAATGCCAAATTTGGAAACCTTTTTTGTCAATGCAATGCAAATGGTCTTTCTAGTTTTGTTGACATTACACTAAGTACAAAAATGCTACACACAGACTAACTGAGTTTCAGTTACTAAGAAAGTAGAATTGAGTTCAGTGTAATTCAATTAGGTTTTAGTTAACGAATGAGATTCGCTGTGATGGTGTCTTCATGTGCTTAACAATACTATTTTTTTCAATTAAGCATTTTCATCTTACTACTTTGTTATTGAATGAAGACATTCACTTTACCCTGTGACAGTGAAGGACATTTAAAAGGAACTTGACTGAGCATTTGATTTTGACGTTATAGATGCAGTACTTTGGTAAAACTTCAATGTCACAGTCCATTGCAGCTCTCTGGGTAACAGAATATCATGTCTTGTAATTATGATATGGAAATGTGAAACATCTTTAGGATTTGAGGTTCTCACAGTGGCGAGTATTACGATGGCTGTCTTTTTCATTATAGTTTCTTGTAGTGTGGTAGGAGTTTACCTGTGTTTCAGAGGTTCTTGCTACTTTCATCAGCAACGCCATGACAACCATCTTCATGTGTAACATCTATTCTTGAGTTTTTCATACATTGTTTAAATGGAACTCTGTCTTATTTGGAGAAGACCTTTTGTGATGGTTATATAAACTGAAGGTTCTGTCTTTAGGGATGTAGCATCCTGTAACATGGTAGATATTGATCAATGTTTCATCACCCTGATAATGGAGGCAGTAAGGTCCTCTGAAACCTCAGTTAGTGTACGGCAGACTACATGGTGCTGCATCCCACAGGACAACCATCTTCATGCTCATTGCCACCTAAAATTATTTTGAAAAAACTGCAACAGGTTGCTCTATTACAATTAATTGGTTTCTGTTTGTCCTCCAGTGTCCATTGTTTGTCATCTTTATTTCCAAGATTGGAATGTACCCTGCATTTGCAGACAGAATTAGAGTTTACAGGCTGGTTATTTGCAGACCAAATTTTTGTACTTGTAGTGGTGGTGTTTGCAGGTTGGTCTGGGCCAGCTTCACTATCAGGGTGGCCGTGGTGTACAGCAAGATCACCAGAGAGCTCTGCATTACTTTCTTCAGGCGGCAGATGCTGGAAATCCAATAGCCATGGCTTTCTTGGGGAAGGTTAGTGTATCTGAGGAAGTGTCTTTGTTATACAATGTTAAATAAAGTTGCTTCAAAATGCGACTTGGTAGAAAGCTGCACAAATACAGCGTCCATTAGGCCAGGACCATAGAATTTTCCACTGCTCTGTTAGTTACTATGAGGGTTACTCAGAAAGTTTTGCCCCACACTTTTTATCTTGAACAAAAAGAATGGAAATTGCTGATAGTTTGTGTGCATGAATTTGCAACTTTCTTGTCTCTGGTAATGAATTAACCAATTTTGCCAGATGGTATGGATGTTATAAATTTTCAAAATGGCATCTGATAGTGAAGTGTGTTACAGACAGTGAGCTCAATATGTGACAGGATTGACTTCCATGAATTGTGACTGGAGATGAGATGTCAATTCACCACTTTCAACCACAAAAGAAAGAGCAATGCATGGCATGGCATCACACAACTTTGCCACTCAAGAAGTAGTTAAGACAGTTTTCTCGGTAGGCAAAGTGGTGGAAACTGTTTCTGGAAAATGAAAGGGGATGATTTTGGTCGACACTCTGGAGAAAAGAAAACAGTAAATTCCTAGGCATATGTCACTACCCTGAAAAGACTCCAGATGCACATAAAGTGACTTTAACAAGAGCAGGAAATGCAAATGATGTCCTTCTCATGCATGGTAACAAAAGACTGGACACAAGTTTGCATATGACGGAGCCATCAAAAAACTGCATTACCCCATCGTCCATATGGCTTGGATTTGGCTCCATCAGACTTCCATCTGTTTGGTCCAAAGAAGAATGTCATTCGTGGATGGAAGTTCAGGGATGGTGAAGTTATTGAGGAGGTGAAGATGTGACTCCAACAGATCCCAGAGGACCAACAAGGAATACAAGCCCATGGAATTAAGTTGAGAAAGTTGTACAAAATATTACATAGAAAAATAGTGCTTGTAAGCAGCTATTGCTACTCCAAATTTTGCCTCTTGTTGATCATTTTTAGCTGAGATAGGGAATGTGGGGCAGAATGTTTTGAGTGACCTTCATACTATAATAATACTGTATATTTTCTTATTGTGGTTTGAGCTTACATTTTTTGTATGAGTTTATTATGCATATTCCCAGTTAATAATTATGTCTGTAACTCTTCTCTTGTGTCATGTCCTTCTCATGCTTAGATGTTTTTCCCTGAATGTCATAACATATTTGCAGTCTTTTACCATTCTATCTTGTTCTAATCTAGCATTTTATATTTGATTGTTTAATAATTTTGAATAAAATTTTCTTCTTAATTTGTCACATGGTGTAACTTTTTGAATTAATTTTAGGGTTACTGAAATGGGTACAGTGAAGCAACAACTTCTGCATAGAGTTTGTACAGTGGTGGCCAGATTTTTACAAAAAGTCACACTAAGGTCCAGAAAGTTAATTTTTCCATTTCACAGTACTGCATGTGCCAGTACAGGTCACAAAGACCAGAAGTCATCACAAGAGATTTTATTGTTGTCTTTATCTCGAACATTGTCTAACTTTTTCCTATCCCAGACAGAAAACCTTCTATAATGACACATTTCAACAAATACCAAAAAAAGATGGATGGCATCAAACAGGTCATTAAATATATTGATAATGGTCCTGTGATTTTTACTCATATATTCTAACATGGAAGAGGACCAGGATGAATAAAATATTGAGCCAAATGAAAGTTGGAAACTTATTTATAGTAATTGTGATAAAGAATATGAAATGTTCTTAAACAAATGTGGATTTCCCTTCACTTACACAAGTTACATTTACAAAGTGTGTGATAAATATATCAATTTTCCTAATTGTCTTGTGAACAGAGTTACTTGAGTTTTCAGTTTTTTGAAACAATTTTTTTCCACTTTGAAGAAAGTTCAATTTTTATTCAGTTTTATATTCTCACACATTAATTTATATTATGAAGCCACAGACCCTTTTGGGGCCAATAACAGCAGCATCAATCCTGTAGCTTGATTCACCCCTTTCCTCACTATTCCTTGACCGCTTGAGGTATTTCTGCCACATCTGACACCATCCCTTTGGTCCCCTCAGATGGCCACTTTGTCCCCTTTCTCTCTGTCTTGTACCAGCCTCATCTGTGGTATCCTGAAAAGCATTCTTTCCTATTGGCTGGATATGATTCAATCTCCCCAGATCCTGTAACTGATTGGCCAGCCCCTCTCCATTTATCTATTCCATCTCCTGTCCCTCAATTAGGATGCTTTTCTTTTGACATTTTTGGTACAGAATTATATTGTTGATACACAGATTTATCTGGAAGGCAGTGACATTGTGAAGCAAGACAACGATACTGCATACAAATACTTCAAGAAAGCTGCTGACTTGGGAAATCCAGTGGGGCAAAGTGGACTGGGTCTCATGTACCTGTATGGCAAAGGTGTAGAAAAAGACTATGGCAAAGCCCACAAATATTTCTCACAGGCAGCTGATCAGGGCTGGGTGGATGGACAGCTGCAGTTGGGCAACATGTACTTTAGTGAGTATAAACTTATCCATATAGCCACTGAAATGAAATCTCTAAGAACTAAGAAGACTTGATATGCTGTACTCCTGGAGTCAGGATAGCCAGTATAGTTAATGGCAGTAGCTGTTGGAATGCCTGGGATTTGAATCCTGTTACTTGGATACTTGGACGACCCATTCTTCAAGTGCCTGAGTACTGCAGGTCCCAACTTTTCGCTGGCTCGATCTATAGACATTCGGTAGGACTCCTTGGACGAGGTTGAATCCTGTTGGATTTGTCTTTTCATTACCAAGTCCAGAACTTCTCTAAGGCCCACTAAACATCATGTCCAGTGGGCAGTAGGGCCTCTGTCCTTAAGGAGTACTGTATCTAAACAAATACTGAAGCATTTTCTGTAGAACGTATCTACAAATAACCACATGATACTAGTGCAAACATATTGCAGTGGAAGTTTGAAATTTGGATCCTTTTGAAACTGCATCATACAGAAATGGGAACACTGCTTCAGAGTGATTATTTTTGGAAGGATATATTAAAATAGATTTGAGGTTTTTATGATAGCAAGTATGATGACTGTCTTCCTTTTTGTTGCACCACATATCAGAGGTTCTTTCTGCCTCCATCCAAACATAAACTTTTGCCGGACTACGTGGTCCAACAACCCAGCAGACAGTCATCTTGGTAAATGTTAGATTATTCTCATTTCCTTATCAGATTGTGTATATTTGTAGGTGGTGTTTCATTAAGTTTTGTACTATTTTCCATTTACACCTGCAGGTGGGTTAGGAGTGCGACGGGACTACAAGTTGGCTAACAAATATTTTAGCCTTGCTTCTCAGTCAGGCCATATTCTTGCATTCTACAATTTGGCCCAGATGCATGCAACAGGTACAGGAATGATGCGTTCCTGCCCCACTGCTGTTGAGGTAAGATTTCTTTCCAGTTAGGCTTTTTTGGTATTTCACAAGATTACAAATGTCTATTAAGAGTTCTGTGTAAGGGTGGCCATACAAGCTACGACGTACCAGAAGGCTTATGTCTGTGAAGGCCAACCTTCCTGCAAACCGGAGCGTGTGCATTGAATATGGCCAGAAGGTTTGGCTGGAAATCGAGCCTCTCATAAATCTGCAGTCGCTTGATTATTTACCTCAAGGTTTACTGGATGTTTACTAGTCATGTGTGTGTGTGGGGAGAGAGGAGGGTAAAGGCAAGGCTTTAGTCATCTCAATCAGTTAACACAGCACTATACAGTCCTCTCTGTTTCGTCAGTTTTTATATTACCATTATTGGAGTGTTGGCTGACACGAGATCCTGGCCTCATGAATGTATCTCCAAATTCATTGAGTTGTACAGGTCTCTGCAGTATTCCAACAAACACTTGAGAAACTCTGCGTATTTGAAGCTTGTTGAAAAAATGCAAGAAGTGAATCGTACTGCAACAAAGGATACCGTAGTAAAGAGGATCAACAATATGAGCAGTTCTTACAGAAAAGAGTTGAAGAAAGTATCACAATGTAAGAGAAGCGGCGCGAGCGGAGAAGTATGCGATCCATTTTTATGGTATTTCCACATGTTTGATTTTCTGTATGACCAGGTATTTATGCCAGTCTGTTGGCTCTAACTAAATTTCATTCAACAAATTTATGTGAGAATGTTTTTGTCTATCTAACAAACTTCTGACCCACTTAGAATGATTTAGTTTTTGGACATTAAAGTAACAGCAAGACCAATTAAAATAGCATCGTCTTCACTGAACATGTAGCATCGACTGAAGAATAAAAGACTGAGGACAAAACTGCGACAAAGTCTGTATGTGTGTGGGCGCTCAGAGGTTTGAGGCTTACCTTCCGACTTTAATCTTGGAAGACAGTCCTTCCGGTAAGTCGTAGCGTGTATGGCCACCCTAAGAATCTTCTTCCTCTTTATTTTTTGTAAGGGGGGAGATTCAGTTAGATGTTTTTATATGTTCTTTCCATTTTCTTCATTTTCACCAAATCATACAACATTTTATTTTGGTGAAAATAGAAGTCATATGATAAATAACATCTGCCACTGGCAGTAAAATGGTAACATGTTGGCTGTATGAAATGATGAAATCCTTTTGACTCAATCAAGATTTGATTGCGTGAACATGGCCATGTGTGTGTGAATCCAGTATACTACCACATAGCTAATATGCTGCTTATTATATTGTTATGGGTTTACATTATTTAAAGAAGACATTAAAATAAGTCAGAAATAGAAGTTATTTAACCCTATGAAGCCAAAGCTCATGTGAATATTATTTAATAATTCAGTCCATGCCATGAAGAAAACAACACTTCATCATTACAAATATCAACTTGTTAATGCCATTTAAGTAAATAATCTCTATTTACTGTGAGAATTGTATGAAACCCATAAATACACGATACAGCGTTATTGATTGTTAACCTTTATTTTATGAGCATCCCATATGTAGGGCTATTAAGTCCTAATGTCCCATCATATGAGAGAACCATACACTGGGCTTCATGCATTTTGTTACTGATGCATTTGGCTTAGCAGAACACATTGCAAAATGCATTAAATTTTCTTTTACATACATGTTTGGTTAGATTTTTCTGTAGCTTTGAAAGCTACTGACACTCCTCATTACATCACATTGTGATACTCTTTGAAACACCAATATACAGCCCTACATAACTCTCCTTACATTTTACTTGCACTCTCTTCTGTGTGGAGCCATTGTATGCTGAAATTACCTCAAATCAACTAAGTTTTCTCTCTGTGACAGCCAGTCTGCCAGCAATTTCAATCACGTTTTGCTCAAGAGATATTCAGAAATATATGTGTTCCATTTTGGTATCACATGATGCCAAAGTCCATCATAGTTCAGATCTCAGTCATTAGCATTGCCATTGTTTTAAAAGTATAAGAATACATGAAAATTCTATATCAATTTGAGTCATTGTAGATGTGGGGTGCCATATTGTGTCTTTTGCCAGACTTGACACCAGTGAATTGATGGATACCTTTGTTTGGACTGTCAGTTATCCCAGCTTGGACTCCCCTTCAAATGCAAGTGGGGGTAATATCATTTCACCATCATCCTAGTCACAGATTTGTGGGGTATGGTAATGTTAACCCCTGTTTTGAAAAGTTCTAACCTTCATTCACAGCCAGACATTCAGTAGGAGTGTAACATTTTGTGCAGGTGTCATTCAAGAAGCCAAAAACATTACTGAGTTTATATAGTTCGTCATAGTTTGGGTCTCTTTAGTCAGTAGCACTGTGATTGTTTGAAAAGTTTAGGAACACATGAAAACATTTTATGGTGTTGAGTGCTTGTTGGTATGGGGTGCCAAATTCTGTCAGTATGTTACCAGTGAACTGATGGATACCCTTGTTTGGACTGTCTGTCAGTTGTCCCAACTTGGATACCCCTTCAAATGCAGGTGGAGGTGGTATCATTTTATCATCCTGATCACATTTTTCATGTGGGATATGTTCAGACAGCATCACAACCCAGAAGGCAGCTACCTTCAGCTGTGAAAACCTCAAATCCTACCATGTTTACCCTGCTTGGCCTCTCACACTGCCCTTTGTAAACACTGCTTGGGGTGGTTGGCAGATTTGTTTATCAGGTCAACTTCCTTGAGGTCTGTTTTATTAGTATGGACCCCTCAGCTGTTGTACAGCCAAACTGTTCTTGCCTCAACACACCTAGTATAAAGTTAATTTTAGACTGACTGCTTATCTGTATGAATTAGTTATAATCTTTTCCTGCAGACTCACACTGCACATAGCACACATTCCAAACTGATTTAAAGTACCAAAATAAACTCTGTCCTATTTGAGGGAGTGGAATGAAATTTATTTTCTTTGATAGAAACAAAGACTTTGATTCATATGAAATATATTACTCTGTTCTCTGACACCAGCTGGAGCAGACTGAGTTACAGCTGAAATAATCTTTTGACACTGCTTACTCATTCATGTGATACGAGGTGCGATCGGAAAGTTTCAAGACTGCGCCTATTAAAAAAAAAACACCCGTACACTTATCTCAGGTATTAAATTCATCCATCACCCTCGAAGTAGTTCCCCTGGGAGTGAACACAACGATCCCAGCGCCGCTGCCAAGCCTGTAAGCATCCCTGGAAATCTTTCTTTGTCAGCCTGTCAAGCACCATCTGCGATTCTGCCTGAATCTCTTCTATCGTCTCAAATCTCCTTCCCTTTAGCTGAATTTTCATCTTTGGGAAGAGGAAGAAGTCACACGGCGGATAAGGAGGGTGCGGGATGACGGCCATGGTGTTTGAGGCCAAAAACTGCCGAACTTTGAGGGCGGTGTGCGCTGGCGCGTTGTCATGATGCAGCAGCCAGTTGTGGTTGCGCCACTTTGCCAGCCGCTTCCGTCTCACATCTTCACGCAACAATGTCGCACAAGTCGTTGATGGTACGACGATGGTCGATCTTCGTGAATGGCCTGCCGACTCTTCGTAACATTTTCGGGCGTTGTGCTCGAAGATGGTCGTCCAGAACGCTCGTCATCATCGACAGAGGTTCGGCCATTTTTAAAACGTGAATGCCACACAAAACTTTGCGGACTCCCCAAATGCTTGCTTTAGCATTTCATAGGTTTCCGTAGCCGTTTTGGCGAGTCTTTGGCAAAATTTGATGCACACGCCATTCCGAAATCGCAGGAGGGTCAGTGTAATGCACTACCAAAACGCCCGTAACTAAGAAACAAATGCTAATTCGATGATGCCGGCTGGCACACTGATTCACTATGACTGTAGGCCGCACCCCCTAGCGGCAGAAGCTCGTACTACAGCCGGTTCGCCCTCTATTGACACAGTCTTGAAACTTTCCGATCGCACCTCGTATGTCTGCTAAAGGGGTTTATTTCAAATATGAACCTATATGCCTTAGGCCATATTTACTTTCCATTTGAAACTGCTGATTGTTGATGAACTTTTCTGTAATCACACCATCACAAATAACTCTCAGGAAGATTGTATTTCATTAAGACTCTTGGCATACCAAACAAGCATGCCTGTAGCAGTTCTAAGCCAAGTACAATTGACTCCAAGACTTTCTATCACTAAATATGTAGTATGAGGTTAAATTTGAAGAATAATTAATTAAGACATGGAAAAAATTTAAAACACTGAAAGTAAACAAAGTAGGTGTGTATAAAGGCTGATTATTATGAAACTTATGTACATTCTCAATAATAATTTTTATTTTGAGTTTTTTCCTTAAAAATGCAATAAATATGCTATATTTTGTAACATACAGCACTCTGAGATGGTTTAAACTCCAATTAAATCCATACATGTACATAGACCACAGGAATTTAAATGCTGCACTTAAAAGGTTAAAGCAGATAGTACATTTGTATCACTGGGCTTTGAAGTGTTAAATATGATAACAAACATTTTTATTTTATGATTTTTTAAAATTAAGAGGTTACGAGCAATATCAGCATATTATGTAAGCTATACCTGCATATATTGATTAGTTTGTAATATATAAACAAGGTCAAGGCCCTTTATTTGAAACTGTGCTGTTCTGTCAACAATCAGCTTCTGATATACAAATGAATCAGCAGAGAGGAATGAAAACAAATTTTAAAACATATAATTATATATTTTTGTTTCTAATGATGATAATGATATAGTGGAAAGTACAGAAATTGGATTGAAATTTGCTTGATTTTTGTGTTTGAAAACATAATGCTTATGTTTTTACATCTCCTGCAGTCTGTTTCTACATTTCATGGCCAGTACTTATGGTACTGCTTGCATGGTATGAGGTAACATTCAGAAAGCTCAGAATGCATGTCAAAACTGTAATCCAGTGTAGATTACACCTACCCTGTCTTCTTCAGAATGCAGTATGTTCTGTTTTATTTGTGCATAATATTTATAGCAACAGCAGAGATCATGTACAGTTTTACTTTCCAGTTATCAACATAATATGAAAGACTTTATCAGGAAGAGACTTTATTGTATCATGACAGAAATACTTCAGTATTCATAGTGCTTTATGCTCTTAATTTTTTCAGCTGATGGTGGTTTCAATCAAACTGTTTTCTGTACATTATCCATAGTCCAAGACTGAATAAAACCATTAAAACACATTTTGGAGATTGAAATCTATCTCCATCTTCAGGTAAAACCTACTCTGTAGGGCCCAATTGATAGAGCTAGTCCCAATCTCCAAAACGTCATGTTTTATTGGTTTTATTTAGTCTTGGACGAAGGATAATGTCCAGAAAACAGTTTGCTTCAACAATGCACCATCGTCACAAACTTTCAGAATTTATGGTGGTTTGTTCTGTGATGTGTTGATGAAGTTTTTAATACAGTTAACACATTTAGCTATTACTTCTAGCATTCAAAATGTGTTTTTCATTGAGTCTTTGTGCTATCTGAGGGTGCATTAATACCCTTATAACACTGATTTTCCTCAGACTAGTTTTTCTGTTTTATTGCATTATATGCTGTCATATTTATTTTCACAGCCATCAAGCATTGTTCACAGGCTCATGTTAATGTGTAAATCTTAATAGTAGATGTATTTTGTATGCAATTTTTAAAAAAATAATTGTAGCTATATTTGGAAATTTTATTTGTTGTCTAAAATCTTGTTGGTTATCTGAAATATTGTTCAAGTAACCAGATGAAACCCTGGAAGATTTGAAAGTGGTTGATAAATTACAATTATAGGAATGCATTTTCATATGTACCATACTAAAATTACCCCACTTAATGCTGATTCAGTACATGATTTTATTTCACAGCACGTGTTCCCATTATTTAATGAGGTATGATTTTATTTTAAAATATTAATTTTGTAAAACAGTTATTCAAGAATGTAGCAGAACGTGGCAAGTGGGGTGAAAAGATGATGGAAGCTCACATTCACTATCGGGAAGGTCGCTTAGATGAAGCATTTGTGACATACACACTTCTAGCAGAGCTGGGTTATGAGGTGGCCCAAAGTAATGCTGCCTTCCTGTTGGATAAAGGTATGGGAGTGCTTTTTTATTTTCTTTATCACAGTGTTTTCAATGAATGTTACAGTATATTGCTTCATATTCAAGAGATCCTTGTTTGTAACATTCACTCAAAAACCAGCCATTCTGACTGGGGTTTAAGTACTGAATCCCCTTAATAAATACTAGTTTTGTGAAGGGCAGGGGATGGTGTGATCAAATGGGAAGTGAACTGGGCTACCTTAGAGGTGGGGACCAGGTGGAAAGTAAATCATTAAGGATAACAACAACATTTGTAAAGACAGACTATAGGAGTACACTCAATTGTGTTTACAATGACTGGTTCAACCCATAACAAACAATAATGAAATTGACATGCCCTGAGTGGAAGACAGTCATAAATCAGTAAAAGCTCAACATGAAACATAGTATTAAATCTGAACAAGTACCAATGTGTCTGTCTGATGAGAGTAATGTAAACAATAAGACAGAGAAATAATACAGTATACAAACACAGGCAATGTTCGAGGTATCCAGTCACATCAGAACTCTGATGATGGGGACAGAGTTGGTTCCCGAAACGTCGGTTTACTACGGTAACCAGTTGACGCAGCTGATTGCCCGAGAAGATTTTATTCATTGAGCATACACACTCTAGCTAAATTGAAACTGCTGAATGTGGCAAGTACTGGAAAGAAAGTTTGCTTCCAAACCTAGGTCAAAGGGACCATTAAACAGTCAGAATAACAACTGTAAATCAAAGTACCATCGGTTGGACAACAATAATTTCAAAACTGCTAAAAACGCAAACCAAGAATTTTTGCCAAAAGAGATGGGACCGACCACACCAAGAGCTGTAGGCAGATGCCATAAGGCATAAGTGCACCATTGAACAAACTAAAGAGAGGGGAAGGAAAAGAGAGAAAGCAAGAGGAGAGGGGAATGTAGAAGGGAGAAATGTCTAAACAAAGGTGTTGCACTGCATGCAGCAAAGATCTTGAGCTGATAATATGCTCAGCTAGTCAAGGAATTCCAGTCTTTTATAGAAGCCGAAAGTTTGTTATTGGGTTCACAAGAGTCTGCCTGTGGTCCCTATCCTGAGCCACTTTCATCCAATCCACACACTTTTGGAAGTACTTTGTGGAGGAGGGAGATATAGCTCCTACTCCATTCTTGACCTTGGCGGCAAGTGATCAGCATCATGACTCAACTGCACTTTGCCCTCTGGAAAAGGGTCTGTGATACCCATTAGATAGGAAATCCTGTGGTTGTTCTGGAGAGTATTTGTGTACTTCCATATACAGGTAGCCCTCGATTTAAGCCGGGGATGCGTTCCTGGAAGAACTGGTGTAAATGGAATCAGCGTAAATTGAAACTGTTTTTATAATGTAAATCAGTGGGAAGTCAATGACATGAGTTCCCGGCACCCAAACATTGACGAGTAATATAATGGCATTACATTTAAAGTTCTGAAATAACGTAAATAAAATAATGGATATTTAAAAAATATATTTTATACACTTACAATCGGCAATTCGTTGGTCCCTGCGATTCTTTCATGTGATTGATGTGTGCAGTCATCTCTGCTGTTATGCGATAGTTGTATTCATGTAAGACGCCGACCTATAGAAAATTGCATAGTAAAAATAACCCCGGTACCTCCACAGAGATTAAATTAGCCCTTTGAAAGTTTAATGCGCCAGGAATGAAATTGCATAAGAGCAAACTCGCATATGCAAAAGTTTGCATTTCACAAACAGCTTTTACCGATTCATCGATCTCATCGGAGCAAATTTGCGTTAACGAAACGTACGTAATTGCAGAGGTGACTGTATTTATAATTTTTATTCAAAATCAGCGATGTAAGAATTATGATTTAATATAAGAATCAGTACGAGAAATGTAGAACGTTATAAATAAGAGTAAAATATATCTTTTTCACTTTTTGACTTGCTGGTTTCAAAAGCAGCGTTATTCTGAATCGGTGCAAATCGAGGGTTGCCTGTACTTCCATCCTGTCATTCACAGTTGTCTACACATCTCATTTAATGCTGTATAACATCTGTAGTTGTAACATTGTTATTCACTAACCTACGAATCAGTCATCAATATCCTTATTCATAATTGTTATTTTATCACATTCTGTATTTATTTATTGTGTTTGTGTCCAAAGTTCTGTTGAGGTTTTGAAGTATAATCAGTTAGTGGGTCTTTCAGGTTTGTTTGCTCATGTAAGGAAACACTTTGACACTTTTGTCAAGTAAGTAGTGACTTCTGGGTGAAGTTATCAAGAACAGAATTAATGACTTCATAGCTCAGTGTTGAAACCTAAGCATGTATTCAGTCTTAAAATTTTGTAACTTCTATAATTGTGTAATGCTGTCATAGATGTAGTTACATCTTCATGTAGTTACAACCCTTAACACAAACAGGAGATCAAATCATTTTTGTGTTTTGTAAGTATATGACACTAGCATGTGTCAGTTTGGTGTGAGCTCTTTTATTTGTGTGGCCTACATTATTGAATATGACATTTTATTGGAGTTTCTTGATTAACAGTTTACATCATGCATTATAATTAATTAAATCAAAAGCAGCAACATTTTCTCAGAGGACAAAATTGACAGTTGTTAATTTGTGGTCTTGAAGGCTGATTATGAGTCTACAAGATCATCTCATTAGCCAGTTTACAGTCCAGATGGGCATATGGCTTTAATCTTATCACTACCTACAGAACAGTTCTGCTGTGTGGAAGAGCACACTGTGCATTGTGAGTAAAAAGTTCCACATAGGCACAGAGTTCTGTAATATTTATCATTCATCGTTCTTATTTGTCATTTAAAATATTTATGTAGTTCAGATTGGTCATAACAGATGGCAGTCATGGTCTCCTGCATTTTAATTTTAAATGTAACAATGCTGTAACTGGCACACAGTTTTTTGATAAAAACATTTTTATTTACAGTAAAGGTGCTAAGAACAGAAAGGGTAAATTTGATATGATTTTACTTCCAACTGTTTCTGTATCTGGTTTTAAAGGAGTCTCCAGCTACCTATATCTGCCTATTCCAGCATTCCAGTCTTGGCCTGTCCCATCATGTATGTGTTATGTCCCTGGATCTTCTTCCACTCCTTTTCATTTACAATACTTTTGTCAGTATTCTATGCTCATCCATTCTTTTAATATGCCCATACCATCCCAATCATCTTCTGTCCATTTGGGTCTGTGTACCTCCATCTTTAGCTCTCCCCTGATGTACTTATTTCCTATTTATCTATCTAGATTTTTTTCCACTATTCCCTCTCAGCTGCTTGTAGTTTACTATTCTCTTGCTTAGTATATGTCTATGTCTCTGCCCCATGTAATAGTATCTTTTTAAAATATGTGTTATTACATTTTCTATCTGTATATTCCATAACAAACTCTTAGTTACATGATGGAATGTTGAAGCATTTTCTGTTCTTACATTTATCTCATTTTGGATCTTGCTGTTTTCCTCTACCATGTAAACAGTGTTTTTGGTCTTTTGTCTCCTTTCTATTTATTTTCACTGCTGTGTTTTTTTACCTCCAGATTTCTAATATAACTGTCTTTTCTAGATATGTAATTTAATATTATTACTTGCATTGTAAATTAGAATTTTATTGTCTTATCCTTTCATTGATTAGTACAGTGGGCCTGAAAACACTGAGTTGAATATACGAGGTGCGATCGGAAAGTTTCCAGACTGTGTCAATAGCAGGCGAACCGGATGTAGTACGAGCTTCTGCCTTTAGGGGGTACGGCCTACATTCATAGTGAATCAGTGTGCCAGCCGGCATCATCGAATTAGCATTTGTTTCTTAGTTACGGGCGTTTTGGTAGTGCATTACACCGACCCTCCTGCGATTTCGGAATGGCGTGTGCATCAAATTTTGCCAAAGA